GAGCTGTGTATAGTTGACTTTCGCGTTGACTGCGACACCTACACGGAGGGGTTTCCAGAGCTTAACTCCTCCCGTTCTCCACCAAAAATCCGAGAAGGCCCTACTTGGACGAGGTTGGACTTGAGCAATAAGATCTCCCGAAGCGTTTGAGCTGGACTACCGCCGCTTGTTCATTTGTTAGTAAACTGTACCCACTCCTCATCTTCGGCAAATGTGATGGATGGTCAATCGTAGAATCCCTAGTAAGTCGACTTGAACATAACGGTGTCAGATCGTGTTTGGAGCTGAATCGGGCTCAAGGCACGTGGGGACCAAACTCTACATTTTCGGATCTTCACAAGTCTTTGGAGATGCCACAGTGCTGTCTCCTTGTCGCATCGGAATCGCTCTAGCAAATGATCGATACTCTATCCAGATCCCTTTTCAACGCCGTCAGATATAGCATCGTGATTGTCAGTCACAGGGTGGTTGGAGTGTGGGTTATTTTCAAATAAAAAAGTCAACGCTGAGCAGAGTGAAGCGCCGTTGCACTGTGGTTTGAGAGAGCTTGCCCTCGCCTATCTTCTGGCCAATCCTTGGTCTAGCATGACTTGCGGAACATTCCAAGCAGTACTCGTAAAAATTAAGGGCACCGAGAGCCCTCTCGCGAAATCGGTGTAATATCCATAATAAGTAAGCAGACAACGAGCTGGACCGTTGGCTGAAATTGCAAAGGTTGATGCTACGTCAGGAAATATGTTGCGGATTTTCAGGAGTTCTCCCTAAAATTCTATAGCATTAAATGTAGTTTGTTGCAAGACTTATGGACCGACCTAATACTTTGTTGAAATTTTGCGATATATGCTAAAAAAGGAGTAGGGCCCCTAATAAGCGAGGTATTGAGCGACCGAAGCAATTTTATTTCGTGCTCTCCCTTCTGCTAGTCCGGCTACCATTAATGGTGACTCTCCCAACAATCTCAAAACAGCTCAGGTGCAGAGACTTGGCTGTTACAACCTTTTTTCTCAGCCATCAGCTTTGTGGTCCACTTCGCAGCAGCACTTCCATATTTGAGCCGTTTTGCCATATAAGCTTGACCGTGGATTATGCATCAAAGACGGTGAAAAGGCGGCCATTGGAAAAGAATATGGTAATGCGATGCGCGAAAGCAGAGTAAATATCAGAAAGAGTGACCTGCTACTCCGAAAACCGGACCCTAAACTTGCTGTCTGATTTGCGCGAACTCTCATGGATGCTGCCCTCTTCAACGCTAACACTCTCTCATCTCTGCTGAAAGACTAGTGACTCGGACACGAGACGACACGTGAGGGGACGTATCGCGCCAATAGCGCTTCCTGCGCCGCGGGAAGGCTATGCTAGATCGCCGGGGTGGGTGCATCCTTCTTGTACGCGGATTGCGTGTCGGTCCGCAGCCACATTAGGTTCTCCTGTCTCTTCCCCAGGTGAATTTCCCCTTCTTCAGCCTTCTTCTTTATCTTGGAGCTCCCTTCGAAAAACGCAGGTGCTCACAAAGGTTTCCTTAGAGTGAACCTGTAGCAATTGGCAGAGTATCACATGAGGAAGGCTCTCCCATGAAGGCAAACTCACTATTCACATTGTGAAGCTTTTATCACTTTGTACAGTGTAATTTTACAGGTAGGCATTGTGGCACACGAGTTCACGCACGCTCTTGGATCTGTTCATACTCACATGCGACATGACAGGGATACCTATCTTAAGGTCAACCTGACATACGTCGCGGTGAGTTTACAACGTTTTTAGAGTTGCTCTTCTTAAAAAAACAAACTCTCGCCTATGCCTTAGTATCATTTTGAATTCAGTTCAGCATAACATTTCAATCATCGAATGAACTCAAACCTATGTTTTGAGCCAAACGCTCTAACCAGGTTCACTCGTTTGCACAGCCCTCAACAAGAAGGGAGTCGCATTTGGGGTTGGTAAGGGCAAGTTGGTGATGGCCAAAAGGTTGAGAAGTTGGGCCGTTTTTTGGGAAGTTGAAGTGATGCTGATGGCGGGGGAGAGGTTAGTGGTTTTGACAAGAACTTCAAGAAATAAGTAGGAAATAGAACTGAATGCTGATTGCTGCTTCTCCGTTTCTTTTGCCATGTAGCCATGCTTACTCTTCCAACACAATCCCCCCCCCTCGATCGAACGGCTGTGACGACTGCTCATGTAAGGAAGTACCACCTGTAAAAAAACCAAGATAGGTGGGTGGTGGCCGGGAGTTGTGTGGGTAGGGGATATGTGTTCGTAGGTGACATCCTAGTAGAGCTATTCAGACACCTTTGAAGTTCTAAAAAGAGCGCAAAAGACAAACTGGCTGTGAACGACTTGTGGATCAGATGCACTCTGTTTTGAAGCCTGTGTAGTGAAGAAGATGAAGGAAAAGTTGTAGTACAGGGTCAAATAAGTCCTACTAGCTTAGATCAGGACACTAGGTATGCGGCAAAGCGGAAGGAACTAAAATTATCTGAGATTCAATGCCCAGCCCCTATATGTCCCTCCGTTCAATGTAAATTGAAGCGACCATCTCTTTAAATTCAGATTGGTTAGCGAGAAAACGCGGATTTTGTAAGTTTCCAGTAATCCCTTGTGTCTGCAGCTTAGGCCTCACCACATTTATAAGAGATGCAGGTTTTTTTTCAGGCAAACGCGCAAAATAACTTCATAAAGGAAACGCGTACAATCAACCACGTGCCTTACGAATACGGTAGCGATATGCATTATACCAGTGACGCGTTAGTTATTTGGTTTTCTTTGATGTTGCTCATTTCGTATTCAGGATTAAACTCGATAAAACTTCTTCTCAATGCATAAATTCAGGTTTGCAACAAAAGGTCATTCTTTGGTGCCAACGGTCATTCTTGGTGCCACTCAGTGGAGGTACCAGCGCACTATGGGCTCGAGAACGATTTCATTTTACGATATTAGACTGCTCAATAAGCAGTACCAATGCAATGGTACGAAATATATTCAAGTATCGACCACCTGAAATCTTGTATGCAGACAGGAGAAGTCTATTGGTCCTCTGATACTCTCTGCCGATCATTTACATCTCCGCTCTGTCGTAGACGACTGTCCGCCCATATTGGTCAAAGAACCTTACGTGCACGAGTTAAAGTAGAAAGATAGCCCAATAGAAATGAAGAGGTACAACGGGTACTGTAGGTACTGAGGTGTTGTCAGTGGAGCAGGAATGAAAAAATCACCATGAGGATCGGCCCTCAACTCCAGAATTGGGACCCCTTCTTTGCCCGCTGATTTGCGCATTGATGTAACTCTCACAGCTGCTACTCTTTTCACTACTAATGCTCTATTTTTGCTAAACGGTTAGAGTCAGGACGGAAAGGTGGGTGTGTCGCGGTGCCAGCTCGTATGCTCTATTAGGCGCTGCGTTGCATCTTCGTTGCAAAACAACCCCCCCCCAACCCACGCCATCCTTAGATTGCCTGTCTTTCCACAGGCAGTTTCCCTTCTTGACCTTCCACCTGGTCTTGGAATACTCCATGAACCACGCCGTGATTCACTGAAATGCATTGAACGGGCCTTAGCCCTTCTACGGACGTTTTGATTCCTGAGGGGGGCTGAGGGTGGTAATCGCTACCAGTGGATTCCAGCGACAGACAAATATTATTAAATTAGAACGGCAAATGTTCCCCTGATTACAATCAGGGCTTTCTTTGATACGTAAGCCTCATGTTCACCCAGAGAGAATCAATGATATCGCGGTTTTACTTTTTTCACCCACTAGCGAAAGTTTACTTTATTTACATAATCTTAGTCTGCAAAAGAGGAAAATAGTACAAAATCAAACTAGGTTCTTTTCAGCTTGTGCTGGGATCGGAGTTACGGGTAAATGTAAAAACGCAGGTGTCCCTAATCCGAAAAATTGCAATGCATGCATCTGCCCATCCGGCTACGGCGGAGTGCTTTGTAATCAACGAGTAAGTGACATCATTTATGTAAGAATCATAACTCGGGAAACGATGTGGTGTTCCCTTAAAGAATCTTCCACGGAAAAAGCTCCGCCCTCATTACCACAGAAAACGATACCTCAAAGGAATCTTCCACGGAAAGAGTGATCATTTTGTCTTGTGTGTAGGATTAGTATTATCGAAACTAACGCTTATGTTCCGTTCTTTTTGCTATGCTCATGAGGCCTAAGGGTATCGTTTTTCTGTGGTAATGGAGGCGGAGCTTTTTCCGCGGAAGATTCCTTCAAAACTTGTTTTTCAGAAGGCAGGATGCGGAGGTCCATTGGCAGCATCCACGGCCTGGAAGTCGAGAAGCATCACTTTGGGTAACGCTACGATCACGACCATACGTGACACGTACACGACGTGCAACGACTGGATTACGGTACTCATTTTTGGTTCACATATGTGGCTTGAACTGTCTGATTAACGGCTACTTCCAGGCACCAGCAGGCAAAACGATTCAGATCCGAGTAACGGCTCTAAAGGATGTCGTTTGTACGAACGGTTGCGTGTACAGTTCAATCGAGCCGAAAATTCTCACAGATAAGGCCATGACGAGCCCGAGGTCATTAACATTAACAATAAAAGTAACTCTTGGAGGAGTGACTAACATTTTCTCCACCTCACACATCTAAAGACGAAACTTTAGACAGGGATGATTGGGTCTATTTACTTAATGGTAATTGGTTTGAGGGGCAGAGGTCTCGGCAAAGTGGTCAACATGAACAATGACCTTACCAGCAGTGGCACCACAGTTCCTGAAGAGGAGAAACTCGCATTCACACAGAGCCATGGAGAGGGCCATGTGCGGGGTAACGCTCCGAGACCGCATACCCAATGACACCATCCGCGCTCGTACGATGGTGAAGGACGTCGTCGATGCCATCTATAATTCCAAGCGGAGGTGGGCCGGTCATGTGGCTAGACTTACCGATGATCGCTGGACGAAGAGAGTGACTGACTGGTACCCAAGGGGGAAAACAAGGCCAGGGGCAGACCCTCTCGTGAAATTGTACGGCCAGCTGTGGCGCAGAAGAGCCCGAAGCAGAGCGACCTGGAAGATGTGCGACCTGCGTTTCTGGCGTGCCCGGGACGAATAGCGGTCGAGAAGTAAGAAGTAAGTAAGAATTGGTTTGAGAGGAGGAGTTTAGATTGAAATTGAGTAGTACTACTCGTTTCAGCAGCCACTTCCGTGGACGGGATATATGTAAGTGATCTGAAATAGCGCATAGCGGTCAAGGCCTTGCCCGAGGTTATATTGGGTGCATAATATCGTAGCGCTCGCATTTGGCAAAAACGTTTAAAGCAAAACCCAAAAGCAAAGCCAAGCATAAAACTGATCAGTGATGTTCTTCTCATCATTATTTACGACTTTCGTTCCATTTCGCAAGAAATTACCAGGTTTAGAAATCAAAAAAGGGTACTGAGCCCGTTTCTAGAATCCTCATTATTTTCAATATGTACGACGTGAATATGATTTGAAATTAAGGGACGACCGGAGTAAGGTTCGATGATGACGATGGATTCCGAAAAACTCCTATTTTGGCAGCTTTCTTCTCTATATGGATTTTCGCCCACCTTGATTCTCCAACTTCTAAGCGCCATATCTGAGTACACTTACAGTATAGAAGAAAATGCCAAACATATTATGTGTAGGCAGAAAGGAAAGCCTCTTTAATGGTATATGTGTTTCTTAGGTTATACTGTGTATTCTCTAGATTCGTAGCTTGAAAAGAAAAACGCTACGGTATTATGCACCAACCCAATATTTGCACCACTGCGAAGGACAGGTTTCGCTGATGGGGGCTAGATGTGGAAAGCGCTAGGAGGTAGAAAGCGACAGTAGTGGCCATCGACGTAAGTCCAGTTACAGCAAGCCCAAACATTTCTGCTCTTTCCGACTGAACATTTTTGAATGAAGGGGAAAATGGTGGACTGTGGCACATTGTAAGAATCAACGGCGCTATTGAAGCCATCGTCCGGAGGGGTAGCACTGGTTATGGGAGGGGGGTTAGGGAATGGTCGCACCAGGAACTTGTTGAAGGGAAACCGCAAAACCATTCCTACTTCCTCGGAATATTCACCCTGTCAGCAACGGAGCGAACGAATGATGACGTCTTCAAGAAGTGTAGCATTCTCTCGCGAATACACTTTGCGCTTGAATTTCGTATGTCGGAAAGAAGTTGTTGGGAAGTTCTTGACAGTTTCTATTCCGTCGCCCAAATATTACATCTATCAATACGCTGCTACATACGCTTCTGAATAGGAAATACCTACTAAATTTCAGGACCTGTTGCCCTGAACAGCTGAATAAGATTCTCGCAACCAAGGTCATTCCAACTCCGGTCGTCACTTACAGCGTTTATCTCAGATCTACGTTCACCTACCAGTATAGATATGTTTGATTCCCTCAGGACCCTGCTCATTTTCGACAAGAAATAAATCTCTTGTCGTATCCATGCACGTCTGTGTTATGTCCTGAACCCTTTTTGAGCTACAGTATCATCGTTAGTGGAACTGAAAGTTGAAGGGACATCTGGAGATAGCCAAGCTGTTTATCTCAAACCTTGTTCAAAACGCTAAACAAATTAAAATGTGCGCAGTTCTGCACTAGAACCAGAGGAGGTGCTATCAACCGCAGTTTTGCGATAAAATGATCCTGCTTACCTTAGATGAGTACAAAAGCCTCCGGCAAAGGGTTTTCTTTAGCTGCAG